TTTATAATTATTTACGAACCTAGTGATTATCGAAATTGATGGACTCTTATAACTTAGCGCATCGAGGCGATAAGTAAGACTATTTATCAAAGCAAACCCTTCGCGCAATTTATATTTCAAAAATAAAAATCAAAGCATTCAACACGGAAATTTCATTGTTGTAATTATCTCAATACAAGATCGAGCACGTAATAATTATTATTTTAATACTAATTTTTACGCTTGGATTCAAATATATATCTCGGATTACTCTTTAAGCTTTTGTCGAATAAATACTGAGTCTCGATTGTATTGTAATAGTATCGCATGATATCAAAATAAAACTGTAAATATCTTTTTTCAAATTTTTTAACAAATTTTTCAATTTGTTAACGCAATGTCGGATGATATCGGATGTAAACGCGAATCATTTGGTGCGATTATAATTTCATCCGTCAAATATATATAATAATCGCGTGTACGATTAGCATCGGAAGTGTCGTGCAAAATACCGCGCGATTCATTGTATTCTGTATAATTAACGTGCGCGCGATTGCAATTAATCGTGTTTCCGCGAGTGCCACGAAGAAGCAACAACGAAGGAACAAGAGAGGAGGAGGAGGTCCAGGGAGACATCGGGCAACGGCGGAGCAACCTGGAGGTGAGTAATTTATTACATGTTTATTATCAAATTTTATAAAAGGCTTAAGAAAAATATTTTCTGGGAAGTAAGAATAATTTTATGCGCGCGGTAATTATTATCTTTTAAGATATTAATTATTTTAAGAGGCGTTCTAACTCGAATACTTTTATGTGTTACAGTTTGACGCAGTTTACAACTCCGCTGCTGCGCATCGTATTGGTGAGTGATAAATTATCTGTTATTTTAAAATGATTAATGGTTATTCGACTATTCATATCTCCATATCTAAGAACGTGAAATCTCATTCCGATTATCTCACCATTCTTGAGACAAAATTCAGGCGGGCGAAACTGATTTGCAATTCTTTCATTTTCTTGCTAAAGATTAAGCATAAATATATATATATATATATATATATATATATATATATATATATATAGAATACTTTTCAATTTCTAAATTTATTTAATAAAAATATATAAGATTATTAAAAAGATACAAGAAAGAATATTATGTATAAGTAATAAGAGATAAAATATATATTAAAATATATATTAAAAATATATATTAAAATTATATTAAAAGATTATTAATTTACTACTTGTTGTGACTAACATTAATAAAAAATATTTATCTACTACCGCATCTATCAATTTGTTTTCTTAGTAATTATCATTTCCTTATATTCCGTTATCAGCATACAACTACGCATTTGCGATAGTTATACATCGGAGTCCTTCACCTCGTAGACGCACGTAGTATGACGTATCTAATTCATGTTTAAATAATAACAAAAAAAATAAAAAATATATGTATAAATATATCGATTATATATAAAATAAAAAATTATTAAAAAAAAACTATTGAAATTATTATAAATTAATTTTTTGTAAACTAATAATTACTTAAAATAGAAAATTTGCTTATACATGCATAGCAATAAGCGTGATAATATCTTTGCGTAAAACGGTCAATTTGCGCAGATTAAAGTACGCAAAATATATGATTTTTCTTTGAGATTAATGATACTCTCGTAAAGAAAAAAACCTAAAAAAGACGATGTTGAAACTATTAGACCAGCGGAATTCACAGAAGAAAAATATGTTAAAGTCGTTAAAACATCAGTAGTAAATCTTCGTCTTCTTTTTCAATACCATATGAGAGATGAACGACACGCTTCTAGAGAATGTAATCTAAGTCGGTGGAAATACGATACGAGCAGAATGTTGGGCGGGAACATATCCGCTTAAAAAATAATACCTACCCTTACATTTTGTTCGACCGCATGCTGTTGAATCCTTGGTAATCTCTGCGAAAACAAAAAAGTGTAAAAGAAAATATAACGCATGTGTAAAACATCTGGCACATATATTCATTATACCGTGCATTAATTATTACAATTTTATTTTAAAATATGTAGGACGATTGTAATTAAAATGTTCAAATTTATTCGATAAATAAATTCGATTCTATCAAATAATTTTTTGGTAAAATATTATTCGAGAATACACACACACACACACACACACACACACACACACACACACACACACACACTACTACAATTTTTTTCGAGCAATATTTTATCAAACAATATTATACCAAATAAATCTAAATGTCTTAAAAAAATTGGATCGTTCATTCATGTGAGATATCGTTAATATATTTTCAAGCGTTTCATCTTCAAATCATTAAGCTGCGACATATATTCTTTATTTTCCATTTTGATTTAACGTTATTCAATGCGAACGAAAAGTTCTTGCTTTCTATAATGGAAGTTTGATGAAAGTCTAATGTTAACGTCCCTATATTGTAAAGCGTATCATCGTTCGATTACTCGCAAATGAATGAAACACCGGACGCCGCAATAAGTATGTATACACCGCGATACACATACCGGAAATTGTCGATAATTACCTCCTCGTACGGCAGTTACCACGCAGACGAATGCAAGAAGCAGTACCACCTTGATGCTCATGGTTTCCGGGGATCGATCCTCGAAAATTTTCTTCTGGAATTCTCACGGAATTCTTCCGGGACCGAGGTGTTTCTATCGTACGGTTTTCATCCCTCGATGCGAAACTGTCAAAACACACCCCTCATTATTTCGCCGAAAAAAAAATCTACTAATACACGAATACTAGCAATTAACAAATATCAACCAAAAAGTCACCACCGGGAGAAGAAACTTTCGCGACAAACGATCTTCACACCGGTCACTGTACTCTTCTTAATCTCTTCCCTCGTTTAGTTTCGCTCGCCGCTTCCGGCACTCGAGAGCTTCATTTAGAGATTTTTCGCGAATAAATCTTAGATCGCACAAAGGTGCATCTGTCACGATGATCTGTCGTCACCGCGACGGCCGAGCTCTTTCTCCGGCGGCGAAAATATCCGCGATAACCACCCGGATGATAAACCGGAATGTGATTCGACAGTTTGATTAGAGACAAAGATGGAGGTGGAGAGAGAGCGTGCGACGTCCACTGCGTGTGACTAAATAAGTGTTTCCGTTGCTGTCCGACCGACGAGTGGCCGAACGATGAGGGAGAGGATCGGATGCTAAAGGTCTCTCGATGCTTTTTGTGTTTGTGAAGAGGTCAGAGGTCCGCTGATAAGATAGCTACCGTCGACGAAATCCTAGAAAGCTGTGCCTTTGTGCGTAAAAGCGTGAAGTTAAAAATGTCACATCGGCATCGGACCGATGAAATCGGTTTTGCTGATTTGACCAGAAGGAAATATCTTCATTCCGTAGGCTTAAATTACTTCACGATCGCGCATTATACACTTCCTCACGCTGACATCGAAATAATATAACACTTCAAATGAAGAAGTATATTCAAAAATGGGGAAAAAAAATCTATTTCTCAAAAAAATGCAACTGCTTAAAATAAACATGTTTGAAATAATTGTAAAAATACACAAAGAAATGATATATTGGAAAATACAGATTGCATCTTTCTCTCTCTCTCTCTCCCCCTCCTGGGAAAGCTCTTGTGGTACTGTTAATTATATTCATAACGTTATATAATTATACTTTCATTGTTATCTAATGGTGTATGAAGAAGTAACCAAGATAGGTCAATCAGTCAGTTTGATAACAGTTTCAATTTGCTGATTCAAGTTGCCTCGATTCAGTTCTGTTTTCTCTTTTTATCTCACACTTCTTTTTTATCATTCTTTTCCATTATATTTTTTTCTCTCATTCTCTGACGCGACTCGGAATCAGCAAATCGAATATATTATAAAAATTTCGTAATTCTTGTAAATAGAGATCATACAGAGACAAACTCACTAATTACTCACACAAATAATTGATTAGAGTGCAAAGCATAATTATACTAAAACGACTAAAAAGAGGCTAAAGGCCTTCAGTTTTAAAACGGATATTTATAATTTAAAACTAGAAAAGCATCTATTCTGGTGGAATGACTTAATAAATAATGCATTTAGACTATTGCATAGCTATTATAAACTACAAAAACACATAAATTATTAGCTTAATATAAATGACAAAAACAACTATCCTAACAGAACTGATTATTAATAATTAATAAAATTATTTTATAAAACTTTGCATATACTATTGTTGTTACAAATTCAAAGTTTATCTGTGTGCAAAAATGCAGAGGTCATTGAACTCTCAGAAATACATTAAGTACAAGATGTGATATTAAGTACAAAATCCAACGGATAAGATCTGAATATTACATGATCTAAAAACTTTTTGAAGATTTTTAATGATTATTTCGAAATATAGTAAGATTATCATATATATATATATATATATATATATATATATATATATATATATATATATATATATATATATATATTTATATACATATATTTAGAATAATTAAGTTGTGTTACTAAATATTTTATAATAAAATAAATATTAATATAAATATTTCAAAAAAATTTTCTAAACAAAAAACATAATTTGAATATTCTAATTTGAATATTCATTGTGTATCTACTGTTAATGAGTACATTTTTATGTTCATGCGCGACGAACCCCAGTCGTGAACGTAACATAATGCCGTTGTACTGAAGAAAACATTTTATTTTAAGTAACATATAAAATTATGATTAAAAATTATTTTAATACTTCTTCATTTTACATGTATATTAACTATTGTAATCGTCGGACACGTACATTGCTCATAATTTTCTCTTACTTTCCGACAAAACTTAAAAATCAGCGTAATCATCGAACAGAGTTTGTTGCTTGAAGTTTCCCTTACTCACAGATATGGAATATTCTCCCGAGAAGACTTTAAACGGAAGATTCTAAGCACAGATAAGTCTTAAAAACAAAAACAGAGAATCATCGTTAGGGTCAAACACAAAGGAAGCATATTTTCTGCTATCCGATAACCAGCGCCGATCGGTACCGATCGACATCAAGAATATATACATTGTTATCCAATGAGACCGCGCATAATAAAAGCAGATTCGTACATGTCATCGGCGCTGGTGATTTTTGCGGAATAAATTTTTAGTTCTTTTCGCCGATTATAAACGTCGGTTGTGTATATCAACGGCGCTGGTGATTTTTGCCGGGACAAATTTTTAATCCTTTTCGCCAATTATAAGCGCCGATTGTGTTCTAAAATGCTGAAATGTGAAAACATGGACATCGATCATTTAATTTCGGCAGTTTTTATAAGACCTGCCATTTGGAAAAATTTACTTATCTCTTAAGGTCATAAAATAAATTATGATATTCGGTATATTGTTCCTTCTACTTTTATTTATTTGATGTGTAAATCTTTTTCTTCTTATTTTTGGTATAATATTATCCAATAAAAAAATATCTTCATCGAATGAATATATATTCTGCTTTCTGCTTTGATTTTCCTGTAATTTTGTAAATTTGTGTATTTTATGCGTAGAATATATTCTATAAAGGAAAATATGAGAGCGCGCTATATTTGTATTAATAATTATATATTTCTCTATATAAATTACAATTTCATATGAGAGAATTTGACACACACACACACACACACACACACACACACACACACACTATTTATTTATTTATTTATTTATTCTATTACTTACTAAATCTGATACTCCGTTAAAGTTACGTGCACAGAAATATGCAAGAAAACACATTTCCGGTATCAATTCGGTCATGCGCATGATGCGGTTGATTCTGACAAGCGGCAGTTTGCATATGGCGGGCGGCGTCATGTCGTTGGTGTTTACGGTTTGTCGAGAGAGATCTCGTCTACGATTGCCGTCTCCGGCGATTTTCGTGTAAGTGAGAATCGTCGTTACCGCACTGATGGTTATCGGCGATCGACAACGACTGGCCGAGCGCGGCGCAATGCGATGTCTCATGCCGGCGATCTCGGCCGGTTTCGGCGAGCAGATTGAGGTTAACTTTTTGAATTTCCACCGTTTGCGCCGTCGCAGCCCCATGGCAACGTATAAGCACGCGTAAATGCATCCTTTTTTTTGCCCCGCAGGAATACGAAGTACTAAATCTGCTCGGCAAAGGCGGCTACGGAAGCGTCTACCGAGCGAGATGTCTCCGCAGCGGCATGGAAGTTGCAATCAAAATGGTTATTTTCTTGTTTATTTTCTGTCTCTGCACTAAGATTCGTTTGCAGTTACATGAAATGTTAGCGCTTCAGTTACATTGAATTCCTGAAGCGTTTACTGTCGAATAGGCGTAGTTTTAACTTTGATATGTATCGAAGTCATCTGTCAATCTCAGAAAGATTAAAATTGGATAAAGAAAATGGACCGATATCAAATCTTGAGATTGCAATGCTTTGATGATCCTCCTTGGTGAATTATATGGATAAAATTTTTTTGCAAATTTTACATTCTACTGTTTCATGACAAATAGTCCATATTTATATATTCTTTTTGTGCCTACTTGTTTCTAGATCGACAAGAAAATGATGCAAGCTGCTGGAATGATGGATAGAGTAAGGCAGGAAGTAGGGATACATACACGATTGAAACATCCAGCTATTCTAGAAGTTTACACATGCTTTGAAAATACAAATTATGTATACCTAGTTTTAGAATTATGTCATAATGGAGAGCTTCAACGCTATCTCAAAGCACAGGGCACCAAGAGTCTGTCAGAAGAGCATGGTATATAATCTTATATATATAAAATCTTGTGTATATGTGTACATACATATGCATATACACATACACACACATATATAAAATAATTATGAAATAAAATAATTATGATTTTTACAATTATAATAAAATCTTGCTATTTTAGCTGCCAACATAATCAGGCAAGTAGTGCAAGGCTTGCTTTATCTCCATTCCTATCAGATACTTCACAGGGATTTGTCATTGTCTAATTTACTCTTGACTAAAAATATGCAGGTGGTATGTAGAAATACATGCAACATTTCTGATGAAACAAGAAAAATACTCATTTCTTCTTTTTTAATTTGATTATTATGCTTGTAGAAAATAGCGGATTTTGGGTTGGCCACGCAATTAAATAAACCAGATGAAAGGCATCTAACTATGTGTGGTACACCAAATTATATCTCGCCTGAAGTAAGTATTTTCTTAAAAAAAAAAAAAAAACTAACAGAAACTATTACAGAAATGTAACATTTGAAAATCTTTAGATCGCTACAAGATCTTCACATGGACCAGAAGCTGATGTATGGAGTTTAGGATGTATGTTATATACCTTATTGGTAGGCAAACCACCGTTCGAGACTGATGCAATTAAGAGTACTCTAACTCGAGTCGTGATGGCGGACTATGTAATGCCATCTTATCTATCAAACAACGCGAAGGATCTAATAGATAAGTTATTAAAAAAGAATCCAAAAGACAGGATATGTTTAAGGGATATTCACAAACATCCATTTATAACAAGCATAGAAAAGAGTAAGCTGCGTAATGTAAGTGATACATATTCAACATATTCAAATATATTCAAACATGCAATTTCATTATTAATATTAATTTACATTAATTATTAATAACAATATTAATAACAAAAAATGCTATTAAGTTCACGAATAATCGCGATACGGCATTTATTTTCATGTTTTACTTATTCAGGAAAAAAATGGTACGAGCAAAGATGTATTTTCTAATGGTATGATGGATTCCGGACTTGGTAGGACATTGTCATCGTATGGTCGGCCGAAAATGCGATCGCGGTCTGAGGAAAGAATGTCCACAGTACCAATGCCTATGATTAGTGTGAGAAGTGAACCATTATCCGACCCTATTGCGAAAGTACATTCAAATCATGGAGCGAGATATGCGAATTATCATCTGAAGGAGGACTCCTTGATGAGTAATCCGATGCCACGCAGTAGAGCGTTCTCGCAAAATGAACAGCACGACAATTATTATGCCTATAACGATTGTGAAAAGCAGAAAATGGTAGAAAGGCACAAGCCAAGAAAGGAAAACATCGCAGAGAATCGTAGCGCGGAAGAAACCAGAAAGAATACAAAATTACAAGTGTCGCCTTTAAATTCTAATAGATTGCAGCCTACTAGGCATAGAACGAAGGGTGCAATTCTCACTATTTTGGATAATGGAGAAGTGTGCATCGAATTTATCAAGCGCAGGAACGGCATGGTATGAAAGAAAAATGTTTATATAAAAATATCGTTTTATTATAGATATTATAGATATTATAAATATTGCATTATTTTGTATAAAAAAGATAATAAAAGATAGATATGTATATATTCCATAAATAGAGGGAAAAACATTCTACTTTGTTTGTTATTACAGGAAAAAATAAGTGAAGTGTGCAGAATATCAGGTGATGGTCTACGAGTCGTTCTTTATAAACCAAATGCGACCACGGAGATCGACTCGCAACCACTTCCATTGCCTAGCCGGGGTGCTGATAGCATTTATTCATATGAAAATTTGCCGACATGTCATCATCGAAAATATATGTATGCTTTTCGTTTCGTGAAACTGGTTCAAGCAAAAACTCCAAAGTTAACATTGTACACTCAACGCTCGAAGTGCCTATTCATGGAAAACGGTCCGCAACCTGATTGCGAAGTACACTTTTATAATGGAATAAAGGTACATAGTTTTCAATTCTTAAATTTTATTATATTTATGTGTAAGTAGTGATAAAATAAAATAAGAAAATTAATAATGTCTGATACAAAATAATGAGTTGTAAAAATCAATGTACCATGAGTACAAATGTTAAAGTAATATCATAATTTTGATACTATTATAATTTAATTTATTAATCAATTTATTAACTTGATTTTTGTTTAATATTATTGTTTAATATTCACATATTTATTTGATTGAACTTTCCATGCTCTAGGTTGTCAGAATAGACGGTGTCGTTAAGATCACCGATAAGAGTGGTGCCACATTCGTCGAAGGTGCATTCCCGCAACATCTCGAGAATTATTATGAGCATTATTCGGAATGTTATCAACGTTGCTTATTACTTGAATCCACTTTAACTTCCTTGGAAACAGCTACCGGACATCCCTGTTTTCCTGTAATAATTGGACGAAGACCCAATACGGCATTGAATGACGCTCCCTATCTACAGGGAAAAGAAAATGTTTCACAAACCACAAACTGTTCCCCTATTGTAAGTATTAGAAAAAATGCCTAATTATTTCGCTTTAATAATCTTTTTTGCTGAGTTAACGAATTTTTTTTAGCTGCCGTCATTTGACGCTACTTGTTCCGTTGTCTCAACAGTAACTTCTAGATCACGTAAAATGAACTCCATGCATAACTCTCATAATAATGTGAACAAGGTAGCGGTACCGGGAATAGGCATTGCTACGAAATTGTCATCTGGCGATATTAGGGTCGATTATAAAGATGGCTCTGCCTTAACTGTAAGTCATTGCTAAGAATAGTTCATTAATTTTTTTAATGAATATATTGATTTATAATAATAAATCAACTTTATAATAATTTATAATAATAATTAATTTATAATAATTTATAATAATTTTAACGATAATTTATTGATTATTTAATATTTTATTATACACATTTCACTGATGATCTTGATTTATTATAGGTAAGTCCACAAAGTCATAATGGTGACATCACATATGAGAGTAACGACGGCATCGTTATACGATATAATAAGCATTATCAACAAAATTTAGATATACCAGTTCAAGAGAAACTCCGACAATTGCCTACGGTTATTAAATATCTAATGATAGAACCGACGCATAAAGGCATTCGGTAGTGAATGAAAATATAAAATATTTTGTATAATACAACAAAAATTACTCTTGCTTGTGGACTGTAAGCTTGCTATAGATTTTATAAATTAGCACATAGATTTATAGGTAGCTTATACAAATTTAAATACAGCTCTATAAATATTTTTTAAGTATACAATAATGAAATAAAGAAATTATTTTATTCTATCTTTGATACAGTCGATTCGAGTATTGTTGTATTTTAATGTATTAATATTTAATTCTACAAGAGAAAAAGAAGAAAACGCTCATATCAAAACAAAGAGAACAATGTTTTTCAAAGATTGATTGTTTTATAAATAGAAAAAAATGAGAGAAGCAAATTATTGCGATTATATTTAAGAAAAATTTAAGAATAATTTTTATAAGTGGAATAATTAAAAATTTTTCCATTCGAAGAAACATTCAGCAAAATTTAATATCTCCAAAATGACAAGCTATGCAAATATATTTGTTATTTTGATAAAAGATATATTTTAAAATTATTATTATACGATCGCACTGTTTTATCCCATCGAAGAGCAATCGACAAATAAATTTATAATAAACCAAGCATCAAGAATTTGAACTTTCATTTTTTTTTTAACATGATCATAGATTTTATTTCTCCCGAATTTTCCGCATTTTCCATAATCTTTCATTTTAACTTTGAAATTTAATACTTGAATCGGAAGATTATTTCAAAAATTATTTAGCTTAAAACATAAGTTTTATTATATTTATTATGTAAATTGAGTTAATAATCAAATTTTAAAAGTACTTTATCAATCGCCGATAACTTTGTCGTATAACACCGTACGCGATCCTAAGAAATGTGGCTATCGTAGCGGAGCATAGTATTATCACCGGCCAACCACGATGCGTCTTCAATCAGCCACGCTCGCTCGACTATTCCCGCCGGCGCTCACTCGACCATTCTGCCGCTTGCGTTCGTCTATCTCCGTTGCCGTTCGGCCGACCAATGTCGCCGAGCGCGCGTTTCGCCGCCGCCGCCGCTCGCGCTCGTCCATCTCCGTCTATCTCCGTTGCCATTCGGCCAATGCCGCCGTGCGCTCATCGCGCCGTAGCGTTCGTCCCACTCCCATGTCTCATCTGCGCGTCGCGTCGTTCGGAGCAACTCGTTCTCCGCGCCGTCGCGTAGTGCGATTCGCATGTCCCATGTAACGCAAAGGAAACGTTCGTAACAGTCGCGCGTCGCGGCGCGACAGACTCGCGCGTGTCTATTGTTGGTAGTCTTATGTGCGGGTGTTGCGTATCGTGTGAAACATCTTGTGCCTGAGTTCAAGAGAGTCACTCGAGGGAGTCCTTTTTCTCGGAGTAACGCCGCGCGGGAGAAGGAGAGAGACGGAGCGGCCAAAGGATCTTCTCGCCGCGTTGGACCAGAAGCAGTTGTGATTCATCGAGATTCATCGTATTTTCCAGGTATGTCTGTCCGTTTTCAATGAAAGCACGTCGAACTTTCGGGATCCCTTTCGGTCGCGTTTTCTCGCTCCAGAGCGGAGCCGCTACCACCTGTTGGCCATGGAAAAGTGCAACGACTCGTGACGGCCGATGCCTTAAATCGTACGGGACGCGCCCGGTTTATTTAATCTCAAATACGATTAAGATGATTCTGATATTTCGGTTATGCTTATATACGTATAACGATCATCGTATTAGAATCTGATTTCTGATCAAGTTCGCGAGATAACATCCGCCATTTTTCGTAGTTCACTATTGAATATCCCTGAAGTTAGCCATTAGATTAGAAATCCATTAACGTCCATTTGAAGAAAGACAACTATCTATTTGAAGATTAATCTGTCATAATTTCCTGCGTTCCTAACAATTAATCATTTAAAATAATAGTCTCCCCTTATTATATTCGAGAAAAAAATTTTATCTACTATTTATTTAAGAAATACTTAACTCAGATTAATTCGATAAAAGTGATACGTCTTAAAATAGACGGTGCTTTAATATTTTACCTTATTTGTCAAACATGAGAAATATATTTTAAACAAAAACGCGCATCTCGAAGTAGGAGCTCGCGAAAAATTTTAATTGAATTTAATTGCGTCTGAGCAAAGTGCGAATACTGCTGAAAGTCGACGATGCGAGACGCGAGAAATGTCTTGCGGCGAGCATTATTAGACTCAACGTCCACTTAATTTCTCGATGGGTCAAGATCTACCGCGAGTGCCGAGGCTGAGATACAATCGATAGAGGAATTCTCCGTGCCGCCGTATTCGACTCGCATTCCGTTTTGCATTATTCCGTATTATCGTTGGAAATTAAACGGGATTCCGGAAGTGCAAATTCCCGAGGAGTAGCCCGAAAACGAATTACGTTCAACAACGCTGAAATAATAACGTGTAATTATGATCCGTATTTTTTTTTGCCAATGTTTCCCTTGGGTCGAGATTCGATGTGTTTTCGTTCAATGAAGCGAAGCTCGCACGTTTCCACGAAGCGTACACCACCGTTCAGTGTTTGTTTACATTCCCTCTGTTCGTGGAATTTTTGAAACGAACCTTCGCGTTGAATTGATTTCTCATCCTCGTCTCGTTTGTATATTCTTGATCGTGACGTACATATAAAGGTTTAATGAAAAAAACATATTTTATGCTACAGTTAACAAACGGATTGCAAAAACTGTACTATCTACTTACTTCTAACTCTACTAAATTTGCGATATAAAGTAAAATTATTTCAAATTTATACACATAATAATATATGTATAATCCAATAGTAAAGGATTATTAGACCTCTAAGATTTAATCGAATAATGCCCATTCTATTTTTTAAATAAAATTTATGACTACATTGGAAAAGATTATCACTGTATACTATAGCAAATTTGTTTATATGTTACATTAGCTATAGTTATATTAGCTATAGTTTTAACAATCTGCTATTATTTGTAGCATAAAATATTTTTTTCCGAGATGTGCAGTAAGATCAAAGAGAGCAAGATTTAAGTTTGTAAGTTGAATTATTTTGTCTCACAAAGATTCTTCTTTGACTTCAGAAGATACATTCGACTAATTTGAATTGAGCGTATAGGCGGCCTTTCTCACGTTCGCATTCTTCTTCTGCTATTGTTATCTCCTCGAGTTGAAATTTTACTCCTATTTTTGACCTTAGTTTCAAGATTTATAAATTCTACAAGATTGCGATTTATTTTATACGAATGAGCTCATACTTTGCATTTGAAATAAGTAGAAAATGAACAATTTCTCCTTGAGATTCAAAAGAGGAATTGTGTTATTTTTAGCATTTCATAACTCTAAATAAAAACTGTAGATATTAAAAAATATCAAAAGATATCTATTTTATAATATCAAAACAGGTGTAAGATCTTAATTGAAATCTAAAGTAGGATGAGGATGTCGACGCTGAAAAATCGACGTTGAAATTATTTTTCACTCGAAATCGCCGAGTGGGTCGATTATTTCTCGACGTTCGTCAAAATGTTGGTCGAAACGAAATGATGTTTCGAGACGCGATTCAATGAGTTTGCGAATTCGGGCCAACTGTCGTCGGTCAATGTTTACAAAACACGCGTTGCAGAAATACGCCTACGTCGTTTTAAACGTTTTAGCGTTGACGCACGTGGCGGTGAAGATCGCGTTGTCAATAATCTCGTTCGTAGGAATCAAGTCTGTTGGAATCGCGCTTTATAACGTTTAAGTTTCGTCGCGGGCAGCACGCGATTTGCTCCGCGAAAATATTTGCGTTCACCGAGTTACGTGCGTCTCGAAATACAACGTCTCCGGATATTTCCGGCGCCGACGTCGATTGCGAGAGGCTAAATATTACGTGTACGAAGACGCGAGCTTGCGTCGTGCTATCGTCGTGAATTACGATAGATTATAATCTATGTTTTCAATGATATAAATGAATAGGAATAGGTAATCGTATAAGCGAGCGCGCGTCTTCGCGCGGCAATATCGTAAGACTGAAAATTGCGAAATAGAAATTAATATTTATAAACCGTGCATATTTCGACGGCGGTAGCCAACGATGTTTGATTACGAAAATTAATTTGACGAACGCGACGAATCTACAGATACGTAAAAGTCGCTCGGCAATTACAACATGTAATCGCGATGGGCACGGCTGCAAGGTTACGTGATCGCTCCTTCGATCGATAATAACGAGTCGTTACGAAATCAGCGATTTGCAGAATTGTTGCGTGCGAGCATTTGTCGAATCCGCAGCATGGGGCGCACCAATTTTTCGTTCATTGTAACGTAAATTTCAGAATGTGCCATTTCGATCGCCATGCGAGAGGAAAGGTGAGACAGACAAAAAGAAACTTTTGTGTGAAAATGCAACATCGCTGAATGTACATTTACAATTAAAATCGTGACATTTTCGTATAATATCGCTATAAAATATCTCCAAAAAACGCGTCTATAAATTTTTTTTATTTCACAAAGTTGTGTGTATTTAAACAAAATACGTTAAAGAGAGAGAGATTATAAATGAATAAAACATTGTCATTACAAGATTAGATAGGCATTAATTAATTCCAAACATTAATAATTTATTAACATAACATAATTAACAAGATTGATTAATGATTTATCATGCATTCACATGCACTACAAAGACATGCATTTTATTTCGATCGTGGCAGGAGAGAAGAAATAAAAATTAAAACTAGCACTAGAAGATCCAGTGTTTTAAATCCGGTAAATATTTTTTTTTTCCCCGAAATCATTTCGGGATCGGTTCAATCTCATCTTTTTCTATATCTTTTCTATATCTCCGGCGAGCGTTCGAAGCAGAGGCGAAGTCTTTGCGATGATGAAACGTGAAAGCGGTAGCTGCCTGCCGGCTCTTTTGGGGCTTCGGCGCGGATGGTGCGGGTGTTTGTCGTGTTGCATCCGACAATGAATTACGCAACGCGCAGCGCGTCGGAATACACGGCCGCCTTCCTCTCTCTTTCTTCGTCTGTGTCTCTCTCTCTCTC